AACAATATTACAGAAAATTAGAACTAAACAGCGTCACAGGGCAGGTACAGCTATATGTCAACAACGATCAGTTAAAAACTTCACTTTAAAAAGTAATAAAAATAAATTTCACAATAAAAAATAACAGCATCAACACAAGGTATGTTAGAATCAATCTAACCTAAAAGTCAAAACTTTGGGTAGAAAATCATGGAACTTTCTAGAAAGATTGTAAGGAAAATAACATAGCTCAGGGATAGGAGTTGTCATTAAAATGTTACTTCTCCTGAAATAGATCCAAAGATTCAATGTAATTTTAATCAAAATCCCTTCACAGGTTCTCATGGAATTTGACAAGCTAAATTTTATATGGAACCGCAAAGATACAAGAACAACCAAGATGTTCCTGAAACATACAGCCCCATATGTCCCAAGCTATAATGTTACAGAAGAAAATGTGTGATGGCATAGAGACAGAAAAATAGAACTGACAGCCCAGATTTATAAATCTGTAAATTTAGGGCGACACTGAGGGTCAGTACAAAAAGGTGCTATACTCAATGATGACAAGAGAAATGAAAATAAAAGAAACTGGACACCTATCTCTAACAACATACTTAAAAACTCAATTCCAGGGGCTGGCACTGAGGGTGTAGCAGTGCAGCACATTAAGCCACTGCCTGACATACAACTTCCGAGATGGGTGTTGGTTAACATCCAAGCTGCTCCACTTCCAGTGTAACACACTGCTAACGCACCTGTGAAAGCAGAGGAAGGTATTTCAAGAGTTTGGGCTTCTGTATCCCCACGGGAGACCCTTAAGAAGCTCCCATGTCGCCTGGCTTCAGCCCATCCCAGTCCTGGTCATGGTGGCCACTTGGAAAGTGAACTAGTAGATAGGAGATCTCTCTCTCTCTCCCTCTCTCTTTTCTTTCTGTGTAGCTCTGATTTTCCAATAAATACATAAAGAAATCTTTATTAATTAAAAAAAATCAATTTTAGATATTGGGTTGTTAAATATAAAAGGCAAAAATATAGAATACTTCTAAGAGCATAGTATTAAAAAAAGTCTTACCTAGTTTTAAAAAGTTGATTTTATTAACTATACTAAGCTTAAGGGAATCACATCTAAGAACATCAAAAGAGCTCTTTCTAGTTTAAAACAGGAAAAAGAGAGGAGAGGGAGAAGGGGCGGGGAAGGAGAGGAAAAGATAAGCACTGTAGCTTGGATCTGGTGTGAACCCCAACAGTTCACGTGTTGGAGACCTGGTCCTTGCTGTGGTTGTGTTGAGCTGGTGGGAACATTTCGGGGGTGGGGCACAGGGGAAAGGTTACACTGTTCTCCAGGACTGAGTTCCACTGAGAGCAAATCTTTGTAAAAGACTCAACCTACCTCCCTGGCTCCTAGCTCTGCGGTGAATGTCACCTTCACTCAGCCTTCCGACACCTGCAGCCTAGTGACTGCAGAGAGGGTCCCACCAGAGACAGCCCAGCCAGCGATGGGCAGTAAAGCAGTCTCCTTTTCTTAAATACACAGGGATTGCAAATGAAGACCACAACAGCTTGTAAAGTTGCCAAGAATGTGGATCAACTGGAACTCAAGTCTCCTGAGAAAATATGTTAGCTTCTCTTTGACTGATCAAGCTGCGGATCCACGCCCTATGTGCCAGCAATTCCACCAATCCATGTTTGCACAAGTGCACAATGGGTACAGGAACATTCACAGCAGCACTGCACACACCAGAAAAGCACTGCAAACAAGCCAAAGGTCAGACAACAATAGAGCGAAGGAGTGAAAAGGAGGAATGCTACCTACATTCATCCACATGATTAACTTCAAAAACAAGAAAAAGGAGTCAAAAATACACAAAGGGTATTCCAAAAGCTCACACGAAATATATACTGGGAAAAACCATGTAAGATTTGAAAAAACGTTTGCACCTAAATAACTAATATTTACATTTCATTTCATTTTCTTCATAGCTTTTTGATGTGTCCTGATAAATGATTCAATTTATGGAAAGGTAAAGAAATAGGCCTTTATGTAATTACACAGTATATCATTTAAAAATGCCCATGTGTGGCATTTGTACACACAGGAGTTAAGTTGCTATGTGGGATGCCATATCAGAGTGTGTGACTCACAGCCTGGCTCCTCCAGTTCCAACCCAGCATCCAGCTAACGCGCCACCACAGAGGGAACAGGTGCCAAAACAGGTGCCAACTCAAGCAAGAGCATTGCTGCCAATCAAGTGGGAGACCCAAACGAAATCCCTGGCTCCTGGCTCCAGCCTGGCCCAGCCCTGGCAATTATGGGCATTTGGGTAAAATGCTGTCTCCCAATTCCCAACTCCCATTGTCCATTAGTTTTTTTTTTTTTTTTAATTGAAAGGCAAAGAGAAACAGAGATAAAGAGAGTGCTCCTGTGGGTTCCCTCCCCAAATGTCCACAACAGCCAGGGCTGGGCAAGGTAAGCCTGAGAGACAGGAACACATCCAGGTCTTTCATTTGGCTGGCAGGGACTCCGCCACTGGAGTTGACAGCTGGCAGGAAGCTGGACTCGGGAGCAGAACCAGGTCCTAAATCCAAGAACTCTGCTACAGGAAGCACATGTCCCAAAGGGCGTCTTAACCATTGTGCCAAACACTCACCTCACCACAAACTTCTTAAAACACCATCATGTATACTACTTCCTGTGTTCCATATTTAATAATAAGTTTTCATTCAAAACATGGCCAAAACTCCCTGCTAACACAGACCCTGTGAGGCAGAGGTGACAGCTGAAGTGACTGTATTCCTACGGCCCATGTGTGAGTCCTTGCGCGAGTAGGAACAGCCTAGGCTCGTTTTTTCTTTTATTTCAGTGATACAAATCCATAGGCTCTGGGGTTTCCTTACCCCTTCCAAAACTCCCTCCCAGTCAATGATTTTCTCTATGTTATAATACTATAGTGCTTAATAAGCAGACCTAAGCCCATCATTCTGTCCTTTAAGTGTATCCTGACATTGCGGGTACAGACAATGTCAGACAGTCCAGCATCCTATTGTCAGGATATATTTTACAGTTTCATTGGGAGTCCGTCTTTGATTTGGAAGCAGAGCTGCATACTGCATTGTATCCTCACATCTGGATATGAGTCCCCATTACACAGTTACTATCCATCCCCTTAAATGAAAAGCCATAAAACAAAATCAACAACACAAAGGAAAAAAGAAATTTACAACATCATGGTTAAATAACATGCTACTGAATGACCAATGTCCTGCTGAAGAAATGAAAAAGAAATTAAAAAAATCTTTTTGGAGAAAATGATGCTACTGTATGACCTATGAGCCAGTGAAGAATTTAATAAGAGGAAAGAAACTATTTTGAAAGAAATGAAAATTAAAATATATCAAAACCCATGAGATGCAGCAAAAACAGTATTGAAAGGACTATTGATCTTATATTTTGCATGAAGGTTGCATTATATCAGAGGGAACATATGGTATTTGTCCCTTTGGGATTCATTTATTTCATTGTTGCAAAAGCTGATTTTCAGAGTCAGAAAGATCTTCCATCCGCTGGTTCGCTCCCCAAATGGTCACAGCAGCCAAAGCTAAAAGAATTCAAAGCCAGGAGCCAGGAGCATCCTCTGGGTCTCCCATGAGGGTGCAGGACCCCAAGGCGTTGGGTCACCCTCGACTGCTTCCCCACGCCACAAACACGGATCTGGATGGAAAGTGGAGCAGCCGGGTCACAAACCAGCACCTATATGTAATTCCAGCACTTGCAGGTGGAGGATTAACATGCCAAGCCACTGTGCCAGTCCCTGTCTAGGGTCTTTGGGGGCATTAGGACAAGTCAATGGAAGGAAAGTTCCCTCTCTCTCTGCCTAATAAGTAAATAAATGCAAGTATCTTCTTGATCATCTACCTATTTTTAGATAAATATCCTTGCTCATAAGAGTTCACTATAACAAAAACAGTGATGCTTACAAGATTACCTTTTAACTACTGTTACTGAAGACATACAGATCAACACTACTGTACGTAATGAACATCAATTTTCTTTCTTCGCTAATATGCAAAAAGACCTTCGGCTTTATGCAGCAGTAGAAAAGCATGACTTGCACAGCCACCCCCTTTGGCATGCCTCCAGCATCTGTTTAAAGACATTCTTTAAACTTCCTTTTCATAACAACAACAAAAATATATATATTAAGCGCTCAACACTGGAGCAGGCTATCACTTAATACAAGAGGATTCCAAGCTTAAACTGTCAGATGAAGTCACAAGGCCGACTTCTTGCTTAAGGCAAGAGAATCTGAATGGCAACGCCTCTCGGGGTTGGGGAAAACGCCCACTCCATGTGCCCAGAACAGCTGACACCTAAGGGAAGGTGTTTTCCACTCGCAGCCGCACTGCTGGAGGGTCTTTTTATGTACACGCATTCTGGAACCTCTCGTGCGAGGCGGACATCAGTGTCAGCGGAATGGATAGCTACTGGCCTGGCCGCGTTTGGAACCAGCCACTGACTGGAAGACAGTCCGAAACCCACAGGCACGAAAGAGCATCTTGCATCACCCAGGGTTCCGGCTTCCCGGGGAGTCCTGGGCGGTGGAAGGACAGCAAGGGAAGGAGGGCAACACTGCTGGAGGGCTTACAGGAGCCCCTCACTCCCAGTCCTCCGACTGGCCGGCTGGGTAGTGCAAGTGCCGCGGCTGACAGCTCTGCTCAGCCCCTCGGGCCCGCCCAGGCCCTCCCCTGGCCATCCAGGCCTTCTCCTGACCACCCAACCCCTCCCCTGGCCACCCAGCCCCAAGCGCCTCCATCCACCCCTAACACATGGCGAGGTCCAGCAGGTCCAGCCCCAGCATGCTCGGGGAGGTAACAGGGTCACCCCTCTCCTCACAAGTGGGGGAAACAGACCCTGTGGCCCCTTGATCATCAGCCAGAGCCTGAACAGGGTGCCCAGGACCACTGACAACCCCGGCCCGGTCTCCTGAAGGATGGGTGTCAAAAACCAAAACACTCCCGACCTCCCAGACTCAGCAGTGATCCCGCGCAGGAGCGGAAAGAAAGGAGGCGGGGTCGTCAACAGCCGGCGCATAGCGCCAGGGACGCCGCGTCCGATTCCCGCCACGCGATCTCCTCAGTCCACACGGCAGGGCCGCGGCGCCGCCTGCGAGGACAGGTACCTGAGGCCTCGCCGCAGTCCCCCGCCGCACCGCCACAGGAGCCCGACACCCCACTTCCGGGGTCAGGTCGCCGCGGGGTGGCCCGAGGTCCCGGGAGGGGGCCCAGGTCCCGCCCCCGGGCCACCCCCGGGCCCGCCCCCTGGATCCCCGCTACTTCCGGGACGCGGCGCGTCACTAAGCAGCTGGTCCGAGCCCTCCCGCCCCTTGTCTACCTCCGCTTCCGGACCGTGTGAGTGCGGAAGCGGCCTCGGCGTCGTTGATTGGCGGAGCTGTCGGGCCAGTCTTCGTTGATTGGTGCTAGGGATCAGCCCCATAGACGCCCGCGGGGCGCACTGATTGAAGGGTTTCCCGCCGGCTCTTGTTGGCCGCTAATCATGGTGGACATCATGGAGTTGCCCAAGTCGCGCGTCAACGCCAGCATGCTGCCTCAGTTCATCGACCGGCCAGTGTGCTTCGTAGGGAGATTGGAGAAGGTGCGCAGGGGCTCCCGGCGGCCGGGGGGTGGGCCAGACTCCCAGGCTCACCCTGAGGGATTTGGGGGTATAGGCCTACTGAACCGACTCCCGTGGGAAGTGTACTATCCCGACGTGACAGCTCTGCAGATCCATTTTAGTAGACAGTGCTAGCCAACGTGAGTGTATTCCCAGGAAGAGGGTTTCTAGATCTAACAAATAAAAACGAGGGACCCATTGAGGCGAAGAAAGTGTCCAACTAACTAGAATTAACGGGGTGTCCCATCGCTAGCTCTTGGTAAAACAAGATTGTATGTGGCAACGAATACGTTTTTCAAAAAAAAAAAGCAAAAAACTTGTTTTGTGCTAGCTGAGATAAGTTAGAGTCAGCCTCTTATGTTTAATCATGTTCTTTTTTTTTAGATTCATCCCACTGGAAAAATGTTTATTCTTTCGGATGGAGAAGGGAAAACGGGAACTGTTGAGTTAATGGAGCCTGTAGGTTTAAGTAGTCATTCTGTACATATTGGGATTGTTTCATCTTGCTTTGATTTGTTGTTGATGTTTCTGATTTGGGGAATGGTATATTAAATGTGGGTTTATAGAACTTCCCTAGCTATAAAGGTAAAAATTAAGTGATTCTGTGGAATGTTTAAATTGTGTCTTTGGAACTGCTAAGGAAACAGCGCTTGTGCTAATGCTTAGGTATGCACATGATCTTTAATGAGTTGTAGTTTGTGGTTTCCTTCCTTCTTTCCTTCCTCCCTCGCTGCCTTCCTTCCTTCCTGTCTTCCTTCTTTGCATTAGTACACTTAATTTATTTTTACTCAAAAGCCAGAGTTAGAGAAGGAGGATCTTCATCTCCTGGTTGACTCCCCCGAGGGCCTCAATGGCCAGAGCTCAGCTGGTGTGAAGCCAGCTCCTGGTCTCCCAACTGGCTGCATGCGGGTCTGGAGGCCTTGGACCTTCCTCTGCTGCTTTCTGAGGCCACCAACAGGCAGCCTGGCCACAGGTGCAGCATCCGGGACTCGGTCTGGGATGCAGGCATCATAGGCAGTGCTTAACCTATCACGCCATGACACCAGTCCCTGCATTAATAAACATTAAAATTACTTACATGGATGAAAGGTTAATAAACTAAAATAATAGTTCTCAGATTTATCAACTGAAAATATAACACCACATTGTTATTTTATTCTGCATCTCAGCTTGATGAAGAAATTTCTGGAATTATAGAAGTAGTTGGAAGAGTAACGGCCAAAGCAACCATCATGTGTGCATCTTACGTCCAGTTTAAAGAAGATACCAATCCTTTTGGTAAGTAACACATTGTAATATGGAGAGGTTTTATGAAATTTGAGGAAAGCATTTTTATTCTTCAGTCTAGCCTGCTGTCCTTTCAATTCCTATAGAATTTTCTAATACCAAGGAAAATGAGAGAACATTTTAATATATATATTTTTTTCATTTTAACCTTCTAAGTAGTGCTTGAATATGTAGGAAATTAATAAATATTGATGTTTGTGAAAAGAAAAAGTTTTAAAGATGGGAAACAAAGGGCCCGGCACAGTAACCTAGCAGCTAAAGTCCTTGCCTTGCACGCACTAGGATCCCATATGAGTGCCAGTTTGTATCCTGGCCACCCCACTTCCCCTCCAACTCCCTGCTTGTAGCGTGGGAACACAGTTGAGGCGAGCACAAAGCCTTGGGATCCTGCACCTGTGTAGGAGACTCGGCAGAGGCATCTGGCTCCTGGCTTCGGATCAGCTCAGCTGTGGCCATTGTGACCATTTGGGGAGTGAGTCAACAGATGGAAGATCCAATAAAAATAATCTTTTTAAAAAAACAGATGGGAAACAAAAATAAAATTGTACTGTTTTATTTCTTTGAGTGTATAAATTGAAAGGCTAACTCACACAGACATCACATGTAAAACACTGCCAAGCAGAAACTGCCTGTAGAAATGGTTCTCCAAATGGCTGATCTCCTTTCTATCGCATCTTTGTTTTCTTTTTTGAGCCATAATTAAGTAAAACGGATTGTATCTCAGTTTTAGGAATTAAATTGTGAAAGTAAGTTGACTTCTGAACAATAGAGAAAAGAAAAAATCGAAGTCTTCGTTTTCTTTCCATAGTGTATTAAATGTTTCCTTAAATGTTTTTTTCAGATCTTGGACTTTACAATGAAGCTGTGAAAATTACCCATGAGTTCCCTCAGTTTTTCCCTCTAGGAGTTAAACAGCATGAATGATCTGAAGAATATTAATGGAGTCCTGTTCCGTATGACGGAGGGACTCGTGTGGTTTCTATTATTTCCTGTTTAATATTGAATATGCTAAAGTCCCAACTCTCTAGTTTTTGATGGAATTGCTATATTGACAGTCCTCACCTAAGTGCTTTGACAAAGAGCTGCTTCTCTAGCATATTCTTGGATCAGATGAAAGATCCCAGCAGGTTTGTGAGTTTAGGTTTCTATTTTGTTAATAAAAATTAAATGGTCCACACTGTTGGTCATCTCATTTTTACTGTTGTAGTCTGTACACTTGGACTTTCACATTTGAAAGATGAGGACTTAGATGTTGCAGGTGGAACCCCAGGTTAGGCAGAGAGGGTCCTGACCATCTCGCAGCATGGACCTCCTCCACAAAGCAGTTTGTACGAGTTATGAAAGCTAACAGAACCCTGTATCTTCTGTAATTAGTATCGCTTTTTCTGCGTTTTAAAATAGCTTATAGTGGAACCAAGCAAAGGACACATCTATTTGATTTTGCTCTTTTTCTTTGCAGTTGTCATTATCTTTAGGTGATGTGAGTACAGCATCAAATGAGAAGTATGCTTTGCTTTTAGAGGACCTGCTTGCCTGTTCCACAGTAGCTGGAGTTTTATGTCCCCTCTCCCATTGTATGTGCATTCACATTTCTTTCACACTTCTCAACACTTTCACCAATGTACCAATGGTTCTTTTCTTTCTTTGTAAATTTTATGGTACAATTATGTAGGGTCTGAGATTGACACCCCCTCCCCGCCCCCCGCCGCACCTGATTTTCCCCATATTATTACAATAGTAAAATCCTTCATAACAAGTTATAATTCCATCAGTCTGTTATTTAAGTGTACCCCAACATTGCTGGTACAGCAAATGTCAGACAGTCCAGCATTTCATTGTTTAGATATGTCCATCAGTTTCTTTGGGAGTTCATCTTTGATTTGGAAGGGATGCATGTTGCATTGTATCTTCACATCTGTCTATGACAGTCTCTATTACGCCATCACTATACATTCCCTTAAATGAGAAGTCACGAAATAAGGTCAACAACAGATATGAAGTTAATATAAAAACAAAAAAAAATATATAGCACCATGGAGTCGGAAAACGTACCACTGAATAACTAATGCATGGGTGACGAAAAGAAAACACAAAAGCCTAATTTGCATCTTGGTTTCTTTATATTAGAGAGAACATATGGTATTTGTCCTTTTGGGATTGACTTATTTCACTGTGGATGATGGTCTCTAGTTGGGATCATCGAGTGCAGATGGTATGATTTCATTCTTTCTAATGGCTGAGTAATATTCCATGGAGTAGATGTACCACAGTTTCTTTAACACTCCTCTTTCACCAATGGTTCTTATTACCTGACTTTATGTAGTCATCCTAATGGGTATGAAATGGGTGCCTCCCTGCTTTTGATTTACACTCTTAGTTTTCAAGCTGCCATGAGCCATCCAGTGCCCAGAAGCACTCAACCTCCAGTGCTTAACTGTATACTGTCATCACTGCAGGCTCTGGTAATTGATGCCTTTCTGGAATTACTCTAATAACCGTTGCTATATAACTGCCCTTCCTACTTTATTCCCTTCCCATCACCTAATGTGGACTGCATTGAATAGTAGTGGTAACACTACTGTGAAGCTTCAAAGCTCAGAAAAAATTGCAGAAGGTAACTGCTGAGAAGTCTGTGGTGCACAGCAAGTAATAAAGTCATCAAGGTTAACCACAGGGATATCACATGGATATAATGCGCACTGTAACAAAAGCTAGGAGTACTTCTGGGACAGGTGTTTCAGGTAGCTAATTAATGTGCATGTCCCGTTATAGAGTGCCTGGTGTGAGTCCAGTTTTACTCCAGTCTAACTCCCTGCTAATACATACTGTGGCAGGCAGCAGAGAGAGAGCTTGGGGCCCCACAGCCCACGTGGGAGACCCGAGAGGGAGGTCTGAGCAACACATGTGGGAGACCTGTTAGATCTGAGCTCCTGGCTCTGACCTGGCCTAGCCCTCTTGCTGTTGGAGGAATTCAGGGAGTGAATCAGCAGATAGGAAAAATCTCTGTATCTTAAGTGTGTTTATCTCTCTCTTACTTCCAAGTAAAATGGAAATTTAAAAGATACTTATCTTTTTTTAAAAGGGTACTTGCCTCCAAACCTTTAGCTCCTGTCTAACGAGAAGACATCAAATGCAGTTTTAGGGTCATTCTATAACCTTGCTAACGAACGCTGTTCAACACTGCCAAGGTCCTGCAAAACAGGGAGATGGAGAAACCCTGAGCAGAGAAGCCTAAGCAGACCACAGCAGCTCAGGAGAGGTTGTAGCCTAGGACAAAAAGGGACATCAACAGAATGTCTAGTGAAGTGT